ATATCATGGCTAAGGCCATCGCCGCCAACGGTCGACCTAGATTCGACTAAGGTGAGTAAACGACTCGACGACAGTCGAAGTCGCCTACATGGCTAAGGCCATCAATTATATCATGGCTAAGGCCATCGCCGCCAACGGTCGACCTAGATTCGACTAAGGTGAGTAAACGACTCGACGACAGTCGAAGTCGCCTACATGGCTAAGGCCATCAATTATATTATGGCTAAGGCCATCGCCGCCAACGGTCGACCTAGATTCGACTACGGTGAGTAAACGACTCGATGACAGTCGAAGTCACGTACATGGCTAAGGCCATAAATGATATTATGGCGAAATCCATCGATGCCGATAAGTCGACCGAGCTCGACTACGACGGCAAGTAACTCGATGACAGTCGAAGTTACGCACATGGCTAAGGCCATCAACGGTATAATGGCTAAGGCCATCGATGCCGATAAGTCGACCCAGCTCGACTATGACAGTGAGTAACTCGATGATAGTCGAAGTTGCGCACACGGCTGAGGCCATCAACAATATTAAGGCCGAAAATAAAAGGTACAAAAAGAAAAGAATAACAGCAAAAGTATAACTTCCATTATCATCAAAAATACATGTACAAAAGGACCATTTACGTCTCCAAATACAGCAAAACAAAATGAATACAAGTCCTAAGGGGCTTCGCCATTCTGTTCACCGCCCCCCGTCGGACCGCCATCTCGTCCACCGCCGTCCTCGGCCTTATAGGCCGCAGAGATCCAAGAGCCGGATTCTAGACGGTTAACGTCTTCGGAGTTATAGCCCGCCCGGTCTGGGAAATCAGAACTATACCCACAAGTTTCACGGGCGACACGGGCTATGCGTCGTTGCTCTTGAACCTCCGCCTCAGTAGCTCGACCTGCAGCTAAGAACTCCTCGAATACGACCAATCTGGCCTCGGCGTACACCCACATATCATGCGCCTCACGATGCGCATCCTCATCAGGCCTTGGTGCAGCAGTCCGCTTGAGGACTTCAATCTCAGCCGCCTTGGCATCGAGTTCGGTGGTCATAGCGGCAACCTTGATCCGCAAATCAGCAGCTTCCGCCGCTACCCCACGGCCAACCTCCAATCTTCTTCCTTAGACTAAAGAAGAGTCTCCAGCTCAATGTTCCGAGCCAGGGCGATCATCAGTTGCTCGTCGATCTGCTCCAGCTCGGCCACCCTCTGTTTCAGCTGGGCCTCCGACTGCTCCAAACCCTCACGGAAAACCCGAAATTCCGGGTCCTGCTTGAGTAGGTCCGCCAGCGCCTGATGCTTGACGCGGCACCGCCGATATTTCTTTACCACCTTGTTAAAGGTCCGCCTTCCTTTGCGCTCGCTGCCCCCTCTGTACCTCCAAGATGAGAGTCTAAAAAAGAGGAAAAGGAGGAAAGGCAAGTCAGTATGCATCAAAAATTACTTTACGGTACATGAAGAAAATCAAAAAGTACCTGCAAGGCCGCGCCGGCAACCCTCCGGGATAGTTCCCCGTCGCTAACCCCTTTTAACATTTCACGCTCAGCAGCCACACATAGCAGNCTACTCTGTCCACGTTTTGTCATGATTACACTACGTAAGAAACGAAACACCGACGATAGGAAGTGTGGTTTCAACAGAAGTGGGAGAGTCCCTCACGAAATAACGGTTACAGGGAAGAAAGTCAAAGGAGTAAATCAGAAAATGCTTTCCGAAGGCTTGAAAGTTGAATCGAATCGAACCTCTCTCCTACTTATAGGGATAAGTTGCACAGAAATCGAAGAGTCATGATTCAAAACGTGCGCGGGAAACCAAAATGTCACATCATCCTCTGAACCGCCTCGGGGGCAAATATAATAATGATGCATACAGGCGATGGCGTCATTCCAAAAAGGAAGTCGCGCGTCAGTGGCTCAACAACGTCATATATTTCACCTCATTCATATTGCCGTCCCTAGTCGAGGTCAAATTCTCCTAAGCCGAGGTTCGCATTTCCGCCCATCGAAGACGCCCACCGAATGCGTCTACAACGAGCGGAGAGACTAACTGTATAGGGTCAAATTTGACCCTAAGCATCTCTACGCCAGTGGGTACGCCCAGTGAGTATACGCCGACTAACGTAGCGGGTACGACTCGAACGTGGGGACAAAAGCGACATCGTTTAGGACTCAGTGTCTTCACTAGGGAGACATTACCTGTCTTTGTAACTTTTTGATTCTTTCGAGGAAGGTCTCTTATTATATAAAGGAGACCTTCACATTGTAAAGGGGGGATTCTGATCTAATACAACTCTCTCATTTTTCTGGCTTTCTCTCTCTATCTCTACCTCAAACGAACGTATCTTACTGAGCTCATATTATCACTTTGCAATACTAGATCTACAACGATAATATCATCTTTGCATCTCTAGGTTTATTATATTTGATTACGATTTACCCTTTTCTTACTTTTAATTATTTTCTAGCTTACAAAGTATATTGTTAACTTTTGAGCCAAACAGATCATATTTTCAAAGCTATTCTTTTGTGAGATGAATAGTGACCGAAAAAAGTAGACTAGTATAAATACATCTAACTTCACATTCGTATCATATTTTGGTAAAATGAGGTGTGAAATCAGTCAGCCGTGTAGTTTAGGTGTTTAAGGAAATTTTTTACAAGTTGAGGGGGTAAAGTATATTTTGAGCCTTGTAATCTAAGTTGAGTGAGAAGAAAGGAGAATTGGTGTTTTTGTTCTCTTAATGGGCGTTTGGACACAAGAGTGAAATTTTTTTTCAAGTGAAAATGGTATTTGAAAATTAGAATTATGTTTGGATATAGATATAATTTGGGTTGCTTTTGAGTTTTTGTGAGTGATTTGAAGTGAAAATTTTAAAAATTAGTTTTTTGAAGTTTTTTAAATTTTTGAAAAATTCCGAAATTCATTTTCAAATGAAAATTGAATATTTTATGGCGAAACACTAATTTTCAAAAAAAGTTGAATTTTTTTCGAAAAAAGTAAAAAAAAAATTATGGCCAAATGGGCCCTTATTCTTACGGAAAAGTTAGAAGAGAGAAAAAGACTCTTGTTAATTTTATTTCTTATCAAAAAAAAAATTAATACACAGGGAGAGTAAAAAGGAAAGGGAAATGGGTAGGGAATTATAAGATGTGTAATCATAATCCATATAGCCATCCAACTGTACTACTAAAATCCTCTCTACTAGGAATGGAAGACAAAACGAGATTTTGTTTTCTTTTTTTTTTTTTTGGTTGTAAACAGGAAATTTATTAGAAACTAAGTAGTATTACATAGATCATTCCCAACCATTCCATTGGGATCGAAACTGAGAGATGTTACAAAAGCACTAGAACTAATAACTGCATTAATATTCCCCATACTAGCTAACTTAATACAGGATTCCTCCGATATAAGTCTAAGGTAGGATTTCCCCACTGCATCATCCTTCTTTGCTGCCTCCACCGCTGGAGTAGGTGCATGATGGATGATTGTTTTATTCATATTCCTAAGCTTTTTACTGTCTTTTGCCAAGAGGTGTGCCACTGATTTGCTTCTCGGAAGTTATGTCTGAGCAGTGGGATCCCCAACTGGGCCATTGACCACCTACATGAAGAGATAATATGGTTATAAATTTGATGATCAGAATTGAGAAGATTTATTACCTCTGTTGAGTCCGTTTCGATTTCAAGATGATAGAGCTTAAACTGTACAACAACTCTTAGACCTGTTTCCAGTGCAAGAAGCTCAGCTTGAGTGTTGCTAATGACATTAGAGAGTCTTTGAAAACCTATAATCCATTGGCCATGACTGTCGCGTATGACTCCTCCCAAGCCACCAACGTTATTATTTATATTATAAGCACTATCACAGTTAAGTTTGCAGGATCCTATGCTAGGTTTGTGCCAAATGATGGTGATGTTTTCGACATTTAAGGAGGGGTGTTGGGTACAGGTAAGGTACTTAAACTCAGAAGCTTTGTTAAGAGTTTGCATGACTGAGACATCTTTAGAGTCATTGTTAACGTTATTGCTATTGCGATTGAGCCATATATGCCAAAGGCCGTAAGCATAGATATCCTCCAATCCAGCGAGGGAAAAGATTTAATAGGTTGCATGAGTCTAATAGAATCGAGCCAATGTAGATTAGTTAAGTTTGGAGGGGAGATACCTAAGCTTTCCCAGAATCTTATAGCTATGGGGCATGTCTTGAAGATGTGTGTGATATCTTCTTTATCTTTTCTACAGGTTGGGCAAAGGTCATCGATATTAAGGCCTATGCAAAGGAGATATGACCTAGTGGGAAGCTTTTTATGATAGCAAAGCCAAAGAAAGAAACTTATTTTCCTAGGGATTTTTAGCTTCCAAATCCAGGAGATGTTTATTGAGGGATCCTTAGAAGGTGTGAGAAGGCTTATAGCTGATTTACTGCTAAAGATTCCGCTAGTCGTGAGAAACCAGTATGTCTTATCATTGGGGCTAGAACTTTTTGTATGAATGCTTTGTATGGCATCCTTGATATTACTAGAAATAGAAAAGGAGAGGTCATTGAAATTTCATTTGTGGTTGACTAGGATATCCCTTACTAGCATGCTTTCTTCTTTAATGGGAAGGGGGCCTTGGATCAAAGTTCTAAGAGGGGGGAGGTTAGAAATCCACTTGTTATTCCAAAGTTTAACACGGTCTCCTTCACCTATATTCCATGCTAGGCCTTTATTACATAGGCTCCATCCATGCACAATGTTCTTCCATATGAAGGTGGAATTCTTTGGGGATGTTTTATTGGAGTATTGGTTAATAAGAACCTTAGCCCAAGGGGCCATTGTATTATTATAAAGGCCCCATGTAAGGTTGGCTAATAAACCCTTATTTTTTATGTTGGCTTTGACTAAGCCAATTCCCCCTATCCCCTTAGGAGTGGTAACCGTATCCCAATTTATAAGGTAGAGACATTTTCTTTCCTGGGTAGTATCCCATAGGAAATTTCTTTAGAGGCGATCCATGTGTTTAAGGGTTTGTTTGGGTAGTTGAAAATATTGCATGACATGATTTAGAATATTACTAAGAGTGGATTGTATTAGAGTTGCTCGCCCCGCTAGGTTTAGACAATTAATTTTCCAATTACCAAGCTTAGTTCTCATGTTATCAAGAATATAAAGGAAGTCCTTAGGCTTAGGAGCTTTATCAATTATCGGAAAACCTAAGTATTTACCAAAATTATTGCTAACTGAAATGTTTAGTAATTTGGAAATTTTTTCTTGAAGAGGTTGAGGACAGTTACTAGAAAAAAGGATCTTTGATTTTTGTAATTGATTTTCTGTCCCGATAGAATACAAAAAGTAGAGAGGGTATTAGAGATGGTGGCACAAGATTTGTTATTAACGTTGGCCATCAACGTAAGGTCGTCTTCAAAGAAAACATGAGATAGGTCTGGACCTCTTGGATTTAATTTAATGGGGTCCCAATTAGCACAATCGACTTGGTGATTTATATATCTGGATAGCATCTCAATGTAAAGGACGAAAATGTAAGGAGAAAGAGGATCACCTTGACGAATGCCTCTAGTAGGCTTGAAATAGTTTGTGCAAGTGCCGTTGATGAGAATATCAATGTTAGTAGCGGTAATACAATTCATAATAAGATTGGTGATTTTTGGAGGAAATTTAACGTATACAAGAGTTCTGTAAATAAACGACCATCCAGATAATCGAAGGCCTTTTCTAAGTCTAATTTAGTAATCATGTTAGCCTTAAACCCTTACATTTTCTTGAACTTGTTGAGCACTTCCTGAATAATAATGCTATTATCACACGCCCTTTTATTCTTAATAAAGCTAGTTTGAAAAGGGCTTATGATCTTAGACATGAAGGGTTTAATTCTATTAGCAATTATTGTATTGGGAAAAATTAAGTTCATATATAGAATTGATTGAAAAGTGACATGTCACGACACGTAGACTGGTCAAAAGATGATAATTGGCAAAGAATAGATAAAGAGGCACGAGCTACAACAGGCACGGGCAGGAATTCAAGAGATTCAAGGAAGATAAATGCTCGGACCTCTTTATGATCGAAGGTCGAGCTAAGAGAATGAACCTGATAGTAAAAAAGGGTATAGATACGTATTGTCAGTAATCAATAGGCATTAATTACGAAAAACGTTAGGGAATCTGTACTAAATCAAAATATGATTACCATTTATAACGTTACATTAAATGCTATTGATTGTCAATAATGGCTCTATTATGACAGAAATAAAACGTATTACCTAGAGATAGCTATAAAAAGGGGAAAACTGATCATTTGTAAGGGGACAAAATATTATTGGAATACATAGATTTACTTTGCTTTCTATTCAGCTATTTTTACATCATTTATTCCTATTTTTATTTGATTATCAGTAACCCGAGTTCTTCTTGAAATAAGCTTTAATCAAAATTCTTATTTTTGGTTAAACAAATTGGTTCCGTTACCGGGAATCTGATAATCTATTCTTTCCTAAATTAACCTTTTTTTTGTCATATCAACCATGTCAAATGTTAATGAGAACAACCAAAGAACCCATCAACTCCAGGAGAATCCATAAGATGATCGTACCCCAATCCCTTCCCCACCAAGCTCTCCTCGACAATCTCGGGAGGGAACTCCTGATGTATCTCAATTAAATGCAAATGCTCAATTGGAAAACGATGAGGCTATCGACGAAGCTTTGCAGAAGTTAATCGCTCAACAGGTCAGCAAAGCTCTTGAGGCTTTCGCTAACCAATTGTCGGTTGCACCACCAACTCAAACCCCAAATAACAACACTTTGGAGAACCCTCGTTCTGGACTTGTTAACTCGGGCAGTAGTGGAACCCCCAGCGAGTCTCGAGATGGAGAACCAGGTAACATACTCAATTCTGATTTATAAAATTTAGTATTAACTTTGCAGAAACAGCTCAAGGAGCAAAGTGACTGCATAGAGCAAATACCTGGAGTACCGCCTGTAATTAAGGGAGTAGATATGGACAAATATTCGCAATAACCTTGGAAGCCAAGAGCTGCTCCTCTCCCAATTCCTAAGAAATTCAAGATGCCCGATATTCCAAAATACGATGGAACAACTGATCCACGAGACCACGTGACTGCATTCAAAACTGGTGTAAAGGGAAATGACTTGACCAAACAGGAAATTGAATCAGTATTGGTCAAAAAATTCGGTGAAACACTCACTAAGGAGCATTAACATGGTATTCTCTTTTACCCGAAAATTCTATAAATTCTTTTGCTGAGCTTGCAGATTCATTTATCAAAGCACATTCGGGAGCTCAAAAAGTCAAAAAAAGAATGGAAAATATTTTCAAAATAAAACAAGGAAATTCAGAGTTGCTCAGGGAATTTGTAGACAGATTCCAGCGTGAAAGAATGACGTTGCCACCCGTACCTGATAACTGGGAAGCTATAGCATTTACCAGCAATCTAAATGAGAAGAGTTCGGAGGCCACGAGGCGACTCAAGGAAATCCTACGGGAATTTCCAGCAACAACTTGGAATGACGTTTACAACAGATACAGCATGAAGCTGCGGATAGAAAAAGATACTATTACACACCTTCAAAAGGAAGAGAGGGTAAGTTCAAAGCATGCTAAAACTGAAAAAAGGTTTGGGAAAAATAGATACGAGGCTTACATGGGACCAGCGGGAAAAGACTCACGATCGAAACAGGATAACTCAAGGTACGATCGTAGGTCGAGAGATAGAGAATCAGGTTCATCTTAAAGGTTCAGAAAAGAGCGGGACACGCGGGAGATACACGGTGATGATAGAAGCTCTAAGGCGATGATTGGCGGTTACAGTTTCAATGTAAGCATTTCAGAATTAGTAGCGGTATTAAGTAACATGGGTGATAAGGTGCGGTGGCCAAAAGAAATGAGATCAAATCCAAATAGGCGTAACCCTGATCACTGGTGTGAATTTCACAATGATCATGGTTATAAAACGGCAGATTGTAGATTGCTACAAGGTGAGGTAGACCATTTATTAAAGCAAGGATATCTTACCGAACTATTTGGCGAAAAAGGTAAGCAAGCGTACATGAAGAACAGGCAGGAGCCCCCTAAACCTCCTTCTCCGGAAAGGACCGTTGACGTTATAAACGGGGGCGAAGAATTAACGGTGTGACATATACGGCAGCCAAGAAAATTTCTAAAGTTACAGTTACACACGGGAAGCGGGTCCGACATGTTTTGGAGGAAGAAAGCATTACATTTGATGATGCAGACGCGGACGGCATACCAACTCCACACAACGATGCACTGGTAATATCTCTAATTGTACATGATACTAACATACAACGAGTTTTGATTGACCCAAATAGCTCCGTGAACATCATTTTGCTAAGAGTATTAAGCGAGATGCAAGCTGAAGATAAGTTAGTACCCAAGGCACATACTTTATCTGGCTTTAATAATTCTAGCGTCGTAACAAAAGGAGAAGTAATACTTACAACTTCGCAGAAGGAGTTATCAAAGATACTAAATTTCAGGTGGTAGAGATGGATATGGCTTACAATATGATTCTCGGGAGACCATGGATTCACGAAATGGACGTTGTGCCATCTACCTTACAT